GCCGCCCGGGCGGGCCGGAGCCGCCCTGGAGCTCGCCGTCCCTCTGGCGGCGTGAAGAGATCTGGTTACCGGCCATGCCGGTGGGCCAGCTCCTTGTCTGCGTTTCGGGTGTTCGCTGGGCTCCTCTTCCCTGGCGTCGACCCACGCGTGCTTCTCTCCCGAAAGTTGCCGCTGCAAATCACTCGGAGAAAATGCTCGAGGAGCGTCATGGTCTCTGGCTTCACCACCAGCAGGTTGAAGCGGTGTGCTGCGGTGGAGAAGGTTTGCTGGTCCGGTTTAGGTCAGCGTGAGGAAGACTTGGATAAGCTAATTGTGCGGGATGAAGAGTTCAGGCAGCCTGCATGTGACAGGCGCACTGATGAGGCAGCTGTGCCGTTATACTCCACTGACGAAGATACAAAGTCGGATAAATCAAGGGTCTTTATCATGCTAAATGACGACCCAGCAAGTGTTGCTCTTGCAGAGGGACAGTTTTTCTGAGCTGTAACAATTTGTTGCATTGTTCTTAAACAGCTGCCCTCTCACTTGGTTAAACAATAGCAAAGCAGTGTTAGGGGTGAAGGTGTGTCAGGCTTGTGCTATTCTAAAGACCTTGTCCCGATTGCTGGGCCTGGTCTGTGTTATACAGTTACAGATATTATAAAAAAAATAATTAACATACTCGAACATCATTCTTACAGCTGTTTTCAAAAATGTCCTCAGAATTACTAAAAAAAAAAAAACCCCACAGCTTTGCAGTTTGCATTCGTTGTTGGGGAGCACCCCTTTTAAAGAAGATGTTGGGAAAATCACATCTGCTTTCCTTGTGCCAGAGGGGTAGCACAGGGAAATCATAGAGCTTCTGATTTTTTCCCCTTTATTTTTTTAATACAAAAAATGTTTATATCATCTTACTAAAAGATGGACTAGTAGTGTTGTATTATTTGGCAGCTTAGTTATACTACATAAATCACAAAGTTGGATATGGGAACTTTAGGTTCTGTTTTGTCATGTATCTAAACCCATATATGCTCTCATCCCCAAAAAGGGAAAAATTTGAGAAGTAACAGCAACTCTAGAACCACATTCTCAAATCTATCTATGGCTCTTTCCTACTTGTTTCAGTACAAATTAGATTCTAGATACCTTCAAGAACTTGGGTTGAATTTAATTCAGTTAGTTTTGGTGAACTGTGTGCTCACTCAAAGGCGTTTCTGAGCAGATTTCTAGACTTTGTGAAGAAAAAACTGTATAGTTTATCAGCTTGCCTGACAGCATGCTTCATGTCTGCCGGCACGTCTGGCATGTGTATTCTTAGCTTACACTCTATGGGAAAGAATAATTTGATAATTGTAGCTCTTACTTGGTTAAATACAGTTGTGCACCTTAGACTGTTAGTACCCATAAAATTTAATACCATGAAAACAAATGAGGCATATTAAAATTAAATCAAAGTCAAGAAGCTGCAAATAAAAGCCAGTGTACCACAGCACATAAAAGCTTTTAAAAGTGTTGAAGTGTGTGAGCAAGTTGGTGCCTCTGAATAGTTACAGAAAAAGCATTGCCTGCATGTCTCCTGAGGTGTGCTGTTTCTTCTGTCATGGAGAACACTTGGCCTCTCGCATCTTTATAAATGTCATGTCATTGAAGCTGACTTGACTTCACATTCTGACTAAAGGTTTATGAATATAAAGTTGAAATTTTCCTGAGCAGGTGTAACTACGTCATGCCTGCACAGCTGAATTACGCTGTTACTTGTGATTGCCAGCTGGAAAATCTGACACACCTCCCAGTGAAAACTCAGTAAACATATGCTTGATTAGGTTAATTTTGAAATCCTTATTCAGTCTTCTGAAGTTAGTTTGCTGTTACGTGCCTTTTGTCTGATTCCTTTCTTCTGTTTGTGAGGTGAGGCTGTGAGATACCAGAAATAAAACTGCCTGTGTGCAAGCCAGCCAGCGCGGGGCTCACTGCCGTGCTGTGCAGGATCCTGCCTCTTAGGGCTCCCTGAGCTGCTGGGGGTGGTGGGCTGCCCCTGGCAGTGGTGGCATCTTGTTTTAATCACCTTACATGGAAGGCAGCAATAGCTGAGGGACTGAAACAGGAAAACATACTAACTGTACAAGTAAACAGGTAGTAGTTTTAAGATTAATAAAATGTTGGGGCCTTCTCTGTCCCCATTCCGTGTGTTTAATCTCTACTCGTGGAGCCTGAGAGAAGGCTGTAGGTGGTAGGAAGTTCAGTGAGCTAGAGTGAACCAAAACTGCCCTTTGGTTTTCAAGGGGCAGTTTTCTTCTTATCCCCAGCTGAAAATGTCATGATGGCTTTTCCTTGAGCTGTGAATTGGTGTTTTGTCCACATCAGTGCCCTGGAGATGTCGGTTTCATTTAACTGTAAGCTGTGTCTGCACACTGAGGTTATCTTTGTAACCCCACTGTGGATTGTGGACATTAATGCTTACTGTAAAATGAGAATATATATGTACAGAACTGCTATACATATTATTTTAAAATTCTTTCCAGTTAAAATTTGAAAACTTTATCTCAAAAGGCCAGCCAATATTAGATCATGTTACTTTTCATTACTTTGTTAGGAATGTTAACTTGGCTGGGTTCAGGGAGCCTGAGTACGTATGAGCCAATAAAGGAAGACCTGGTATCTTCTGACTTGCAGGAAATCTGACAAGCATAAATTAAGCTTCTATTGCATGTTCTTAACAAAGCTTGAACTCTGTAAACCGAAGAATGTGTTCACTGAGTATTTAAAATTCTACTTTTTTTTGTAGACTTCCTTTGTTGTCGATGAAGTTAGTAGCATCATCAAAGAGGTAAAGTAACATTTTCATTTCATTGGTGTGAAAGTATAGTATGTTGTGTGCTGAAAGGCATTCAAGAAGATCTGATATGTAATAGATTTCTAGATAGGTTGCTATCAAAGTGTAGATAATTGTTAACCAATGTACATACTTTAAGTGGAAATGATACCTAGCTTTAGTTGTGATATGTATTACAAATCCAAAAGATAATTAAATTAATTTCATATGCTTCTCTCTGGTTGCAGTGTATCCCTATTAGAATCCTTTAGAATTTCTAGGGGGGTGTTTCATGTTGAACTCTACAGAGATAGATTTTTATGTTTCAGTAATATACAGGGGTTTTTATAGGCTGTCTGCATATTCATGTTACTGTGTTCTTTTGAGATGTTTTTCCTCCAAAATGAGTTCATGTTTGTTTGAAATGATTGAACTATTCTTGTTGCTAAGAAACATTAATTTCCTGTCTAGAAAATTTAGAGGGATTTGGGTTTTGTGTCCAGAATTCCTCTTGTAGACTAATGCAATCTTTTTCTTGTTGGAAAACAGCTGTTTTGGTCAGACTCTGTAAATTGAATACACATGCTTTCCTGTCTCATCTGAATCTGAAATAATTTTGTGGTGATTTTTTTATACAATTTCTGTGAGGAAAAAATACATCAATGAAAAACATGCAGCTTTAATATACTTTTATTTGTATCTTAAAGGGGAAACTATCCTCATAGTAAAACGAATTATTTGGCTGAAGGCTTCTGCTCTATTAATAACTAGCAACTAAATGGGTCTTTTGGTTTTATTTGGGGTTTTGTTTCCTAAAAATCATTCTGCTGAAAAATCCGAAGTTCATTTCTGTAGAAGAATATGTGTGAATGAGCCATTCTTGGGTGCATTGTTTTAGTCTCTACAGGACTGTTTAAATGCAAGACCCTTTTAATAACTCTGGCTTTGGGACATTGGGATATGAATTACAAATAATCAAAATATCACAAAATGAAGAGAGGATAGAATCTATGATAATTTCCCCTATGCCTGGCTCAAACTCTGACCTGCAAGGTCTTTAATAATTGAAAACACTTTTGACGAGCAGGATTTAGGATTTTTTCTGTGGGTGTGGGGTCTCATCTTTAGTGTTCCCTGTTGGAATGGGTTAATAGATGCCTTGTAGATTGACAACGGTGCAGCTTTTTTATGTGTTTGTTGCCAATAGGCCATAGAAAGCGCGATAGGCGGCAATGCCTACCAGCACAGCAAAGTGAACCAGTGGACAACAAGTGTGGTGGAACAAACACTAAGCCAACTCACAAAGCTGGGGAAGCCTTTCAAGTATATTGGTGAGCTCAACTTTCTCTCTTCTGTTAAAGCTGGTACAGTCAAGTGCACTGATGGCTAGGGCATGGGGGAAGATCTTAGCAAGAACCATGTCTATAAATTACTCATAAGCATGTATATATGCATGTACTATGCAAAGCAAAAATGTAGCTAAATGTTAATTAATATTACCCATGAATTAATAACAGCTTCTCTGCTGATTAACAGTGACCTGTGTGATTATGCAAAAGAATGGTGCCGGGCTACATACAGCAAGCTCTTGCTTCTGGGACAACTCCAGTGATGGTAAGGAGCGCAGCTGTTGGATTTTTCAGCTAGCAACTTTAATGTTAGTCCCCTTAAGACCAGGCAGCATGCTTTTTTTCCTTCAAGCGCTATAGTTCTGGAGTAATAGCATGCCGTTTGGTGTTTTTTCCATTTGGCTGTCATCCTAACTCTTCTATGCATGAAATGCTTAGCTGTTGTGAAAGCTGCATTCTTAAGATTCTTAATGTAAACAATTAGAAACATGCATATAAGGGCATGCATTTAATCACACTAACTTTCTTCTGTCTCTGAAATCCTTTTTTGTATTTGTAGGAACCTGCACTGTGAGATGGGAGAATAAGACTATGTACTGTATTGTCAGTGCCTTTGGACTTGCAATATAATGGCCTTGGAATCATTCATCCTTCTCTTTTCTACTCCAGCACTTGATTCCGTCTCTACTCAAACTGTGAATACACTGAACAACTTCTGGTTTTAATGTACTTTTTAAGTAACTTTTTTCAAACATAGAAATGTGAAAATGTGTTGGTTTATGATTTATGTTTGTATTTAGTGTTGTACCAGTGTTGCCATACTGTCTTAACACTTCAAGAACTTCTCTTCAAGGTGCTAATACTGAAATCTGCTGCAGTGTAAACACTTTCTCTAGATTTCTTTTTTCAAGACCAATATAAATGAGACACCGACTTTCACACTTTGTACTCTTGGTTTGCATTAAATTATTGAAATTCATAACCATTGGTGTGACTCATTTAAACTTAACTCTTTTGTTGTTTAAAAAAAAGTTCCAAATCTTTTAATTCTCCTCAAAGTAGTTGAGGTACATACCAGAATACAAAGCACTTCCATAATTTTGCCAAGGTCACTACAAAATTGCAAGAAAATGAGATTATGTTTATCAGAAATTAACTTGGCTGCATTTTTGGGACCTGTTTAATCTGATTGTATAGTATTTAGGGCATGGAATGATAACAGAAAAAAGTATCTTCATTGAACAAAGACAGGTAAGAAGTTTTTCACATTCTGGAAGTGCTCAGCAAGCTGTACACAGGTAATCATTCACTGCTGCAGCCAATACATGTGTTAAGTGGGTCTTGAACCTTCTACATTGATTTTGCTGATAGTGAGTGCGATGAGTTCTGATAGTCGGTGAAACATGATCCTTTCAGAAAGGGGGGAAAAACTGCCTCAAGGCAGCTTGACTAAATAACATGTGATCAAGTCTCTTGCCTTCTAGAGTAAAGTTGCAGAGGAATAACAAGTAAAACAAGTTTTCAGCATAGGCTTGGATAAGGTTTGTCAGCTAATTAAAAATGGGAGCATGCTATGAATTTCAGACTACCTAGTGAAGTTGAAAGAATTACTTACAAAGCAAGTATAGGAGAGTATTCCTGGGCTAGAATCAGTCTGAGTGACCTGCATTTGCTTATATTTAGGAAGCCCTGTCAAATGTTTTCAGACTCTGGCTCTCACTAAAGTTGTTTCGAATGAGATGACTGCTGATACAACAGTACATTTCCGCAATCTGGAAAAACATAATACTGAAAAATCAAATTGACAGGAAAGGACTTGTTTTTCATAGTGCTGGGTGTACAGGAATAACTAGGATAGCTCTGCTCAGCGTATCCAGAGTGTAGAAACCCAGCGCTAGGCAAGGCTTCAATCCTCTTCCTTCCTATGCATTTTTGCCATCAGTACGGCAACAAAGCTGCCTTCTCAGCAGGTTTGGGCTTGGTATATTTGAGACTTTTAATATAGCTGTAAGGCTTATCTGTTTCTGCTAGCATACCAGTTTCAAAGCATCTCTGTAAACACATCTCCTTTGTCACAAGCCACTACTTTATTCTAGCATATGTCCTAGTGAGTGCTACAGGGCTATACTGAGTGTATATACCTTATACCGAGGAGCATATAATATACCCTGTATTTCTGGAGCAGAGAGAGTTTTAGCATGGTTTTGACAAGAAACAATGCTGAGTACTGTGTCAGAAATTATACACCACCTGTAAAAAGAAAATATTAAAACAAGACAGATGATAGATTGAATAAAGTGCCTGAAGTAGTTGTCAGGGTGAGAGAAACTTGTCATCAAGAGAATAAATCTTTGATCTCTGAATTGCTAAGGGAATTCTCAATCTGGATGGTTGGATATTTTAGCTCCTTTCCATCAGCATGCCAGAATAAGGCTGGTAGTGTAATACCTACTCAGCTGTTCATTTACAGTTAAAATAGTTCTGTGCACTTTTGAGTCAGTATTTACTTCTAGAAACACTTGGCTGCTTGGTAAAGCCATTAAAACAGTCCTTGTCCTTTGTTCATGTTAATAATAGCAAATTTGTTGGGGTGGGTTTTTTTTGCTGTTTGTTGGTTCATGCATGTGCTGATCTGCAGGAAAAAAATGTTTGAGATGCTTGTCAGTGTAAAAGCTGTATGAGAGGAAAAAAAAAACAAACAAAAAAAACAAAACCCTGTTGCATTAAACCAGAAGTTGTGCTACAGAAAGGCAGATACAGTTTTATAGCTTGTTTTACATGTGAGCAATAACGAATGCTTCCGATGCAAGTTTTAGGACTACAGAAGGAGGTCTGGGGTTTTTGGGTGTTGGTTCTCTCCCACCCTCAGTTAAGCTAGCACTTTTCTCTAAAATACTATAGACATTGCATATTACAGTCTCGATGTTGTTCAGGTACTGATTTTTTTTTAAAAATTTGAATTATCTTCAAACACCTTAGTTTTAATCACCTTTGTCAAAGACTACTGGCCAGCTCATCTCAGTGCCAAAGTAAAAAGTATTATTAGGGTGACGAGATGCAGAGTCCTTGCTCTAGGTGATTAATTGGCTGTTAAAAAAAAAAAAAAGGCACAAACAGTGGGCTGGTGTAGTCATGAAGGTAATTAGAAAGTCCATCACTGTTTCCTGTCTCTCTAGCTTACTGCTGTGGCTCTTCATATGATTGCAGCTATAGAAATCAGGGCATGTCAGCCCTGATCTGGAGGAGGGGAGGAGGAAAGGGGAAGTGGGGCATCATCATTTACTGTAAGTAAGTGCGTGCTACAACTGAGCACGACCTGTCTTCCACCATTAGCTAGTGTAACTGAAACCTGAAGACAATGGCTTTGGAATTAACTGCTGCTGGTAAGTGAGCACAGCCACCTCTGATGTTAAAGCAGGAATAAGTTAAGTATCCGTTTGCGCAGAGATGTTTACAGCCCTTTTATTCTGCACACAGATTTCAGTGTCTCCTTGAGTTTATACAAGGAATGGCATCACCCCAAGTGATCACTTTTGCAGTCTACCAGCTATGAGGTGACTCTTGGAAGATCATTTAGGTTGGAAAAGACATTTAAGATTACTGAGTCCAACTGTTAACTTAGTGCTGCCCAGTCGACCACTAAACCATGTCCCTAAGCACCACATCTGTGTGTCTCAAACACCTCCAGGAATGGTGATGCAACCGCTCCTCTGGGGAGCCTGTTCCAGTGCTTGACAACCCTTTTAGTGAAGAAATTTTTCCTAATATCCAATCTAAACCTCCCCTGGCACAATTTGAGGCCATTTCTTCTCATCCTATTGCTTGTTACTTGGGAGAAGACACCAACACCCACCTGACTACACCAGCTGTAGAGAGCAGTAAGGTCTCCTCTCAGTGTCCTTCTCTTCAGACTAAACAAACCCAGTTCCCTCAGATACAGATCTATAAGGAGGAGATGAATGACATCAGGATCTTCACCCTCTCTAAAGCTTTATTACTGGCCAGTGAGGTGAAGGCAGGGCAGCCCTTCCTGGGTATGCTGAGCAGATGCATCCCTTGCAGGGTAAGTGGGAGAACTTACAGCCCTGCTGGCAGAGGCATCTGACAGCAGCTAACACAAGCACATGTTGGCAGAAGGTAGCTGGCACCAGCGTTCACGAGGGAAAGTTTCACAGCCAGCACAACCACAGCAAGCCTTTGCAAAGCCACTGTCAAGCCATTTGAGAATGCCACTTCCTCTATTAGCAACCTGTCCTTCCACCTTCAAGCCCAGGCATGGGAATAAAAAAAACCCCAAAACCACAACAACAAACAAAACCAAAAGCCAACCCAAAACACCATTCCCTGGTTAATGTGTGCGCTGACACAGCCTCCTGGATCCCATCCTTATGCAGTTAACCAAGTTGAAATATGCACAAGAAAATACATGTAAACTGAAAATGTCTGAGTTAAGAATGGTACAGTTAGTCATTTGCCAGAAAGAAAATAAAACCAAGATACAATATAAAGATATAAAACTTTATTATGAACATATTTAACAATGCTTATGCATATGAAGTCTTCCGAGAAACTCAATACCCAACTTTTGCTTGAAGTAAAATACTACTTTTTCCTTCATATTCCATATTAGCATGAAGTTTTCCAACATAAATGGATAATTTGCTGTCATTAACACAACTAGACACACAGAATATTTAACACATGTCCTCATGCACACTTTCTCAAAGCAGCATTTAATTACAGCTTCTCATTAAACAGAGCATTTATCTTACACATTTTTATACCATTTTGGTACACAATTTTTCCATATTTTCATTTTACATATTTACAAACTTCTAAAAAAAGTTTTACAGTAATGCAAAGGTTATTACTGGCATAAGCAAAAGGAAATGGGGGGAAAAATTAGGTGTCTATGGATACAAAGTTGTCTTTTGGCTCAGAGAAAGACAACAGATTGCAGTCTTTCCCAGCTGGAACCACCCTCCCCTTTTCCCCAGTCAGAGGCAAGGGTCTGTTGCACTGGCTGCTCCTTGCTGGTGTTAAACTTTACGCTTCTTGTTCTTTGCCAGTCTTAGTAAAGTTCCCAACCAATTCCAACACCAATGGTATTTTTAAAGCAAATGCTACAGAAAATGGTTGCCGTGAATCGCTCACACTCAGTGATTATTGATTTCTTAAAAGTTCCTCTCGATCGTTGTGTACACAGAAGTCTTGCAGTCATTTAATAGACAGCATCTCCTTTAGAGCAGGAACACCATATGCTGTGGGACCTTTTTGCATACTCAGTTCCACTAGTGATGGGAATATGTAATTACTTTAGCTGTAATGAAAGGAAAGCCAGGCTGGTTTCTTATCCAGATCTCATCTGTTTCACCCTTAGGTTACAATACTTTACTCAGAGATGAATTTATGACACCTACTCCCAAGCTGTTGACAATTCATAGCATCTCTGGTTTTCCAGTTGTGGAAATGAGAGGAGGGAAATTGAGATTTCTTGCTAGCAAAACTATTTCCTCATCTCCTTCACTGCTTTTGCCTTTTTACAGTATATTTTATTTGATGCAACAGTGCTTCAACCGAGCTTACCATTACACTCTAGCACTTCTGAAATACAAAACTATTTTGCACGGCAAACATTGCTTAAATATAATCTCTAAAAATTAACAAGGAAACTGCTTTCTCACTATTTTCGTAGTGAGATACTTATCTGAAGTACACATTTCCCATTCTCAGCTTTCCTATTTCCATTTTGAATGTAGTGATGTAGAAAAGTTAATGCAAACAAAATGGCAAGTGAAATGGGCTGAGAACAACTTAGGAGAAAAATCATAATCTCAGATTAAAAATATTTTCTTTAGTTAATGAAATTCCAAAGCATGACAGCGTATTTCAGGGTTAACTGTAACAACCAGTTCAGACTGTGGTAAGAAACATTAGTATAATTTGCATATTGGTCAAATCAAACATTTTATCTCTACAGAA